AGAAGAAGAAGAAGAAGAAGAAGAAGAAGAAGAAGAAGAAGAAGAAGAAGAAGAAGAAGAAGAAGAAGAAGAGAAAAAAAAGAAAATTTATCAAAACCAACCCCTGTCATTTTATAGCAGAGAAAAAGCCTAAATGTCAACTATTAGGCAAACAATAGACGTTTCAGTTATAGATCTAGACCACAGGATGGGGAAATTGTGTATCTTTACGATCTTTCCTCTGCAGCAAGTGATCTACTGGCAAAAATGATACTTTGTGGAGATTAGAGGTCACTAGGCCTGATGCTAGATTCCCAAAATTCATGCAAAACTCCAAATTTCTTAAAGGCTTTGTACTGATAAAATATGAGTTTACAAAAAAGTTTAGAATTTGACAGCTGTGAAACTGCCTGGGCTGTTTCTCCTTCACTCATTAACTGTATCCAGAGTAGCACACAGCAAATCACACCTGAGAAACACTGAATCATAGCTTGTTAGGGACCAGTCACCATTTAGGAGGTCCAGCGTGAATACTTTTAACATAGTTCATATAATGTCTAATTCGGCATAAGCTGTTTTTACTTATATTATTCTACTATCTTCATCATTACATGAAGACTGGTGATATTCAAATACTCGTGTCAAATATATCCTTAATAAGTGATTATCAAATATTCTGAGTTATAATAAACTAAGAAAACAGTCCTGTGACATTTCAAGTGTTTATATTTTAATTATGAAATTGAATATTTACATTAACAATTCATAAAGATTGTTTTTTTCAAATAAACCATTAGCAAAATTGCACAAGTCTACTATTTAAAAATTAAACTCTAAAAATTAATGTATCCAGAGACCCAGCGCTAGCCCAGGTCCGGTGAGTCTGTGGAGAGCTTCCTGCTACCCTGCGCCGGCGGGACCAGTCCCAGCCCAGGCGCAGCGTGGGCCGGACCCTCTCCTGCCCCCTCGGGCCGCCCCCCACCCCTCCCGCCGAGTAGGAATTTCTGCCGACTTCCGGAAACCCCAAGACCCAGTCCTAGCCCAGGTCCGGAATTTCTGCCGAGTTCCAGGAACCT